TTTTTTTTTTGTATTTTTTTTTATTTTTTTTTAATTTTAATTTCCATTTGTGATTGATTGAAATTGAAACTTTCATGTTTCTTTTTGTTTGTGTCTCTTCCTTTCCCTTTAGTAATATATCAATTATTTAAAAAATTTTAATTTTGTTATATATTCTTTGAATATGCTTTTCACTGTTCGTCAACGAGTATTGATGATTGCATAAATCTTAATAATTGGACGCGTTTTGCGCGCGTTTTAAAACGCGCTGCTCACCTGGCCAAACGGCAGCGCACACACACAAGGATAACAGCATTAAATAAATGAAACGCATTGCGATTTATAGTTTGTGTTTTTTTTTTTTCACTTTGAAAGGATATGTGGCTCAAGGATCGTTTGGCTACACTCGCGTTGCTCTCGCTTATGGACAACAGCTCGGCTCGACTCTCGAATGCAAACTACCAATTAAATAAATTGTTAACATGGCTTTTTTTTATCACTTGGCACCGGCCAAGATACTCACAGGTTGGCTGCTCGGGTCGGGCCAATGGCACTGATAAGGCCACACTGAAGAGCGCCCCGTTGGCTGGTTAGTAAGCGGTTACAGTGAACACTCCACAATCGGATGGTTGCCATGGCTAAGAGTTTGCTGGAGTTTCACTACATTAATTTCCAGGCTGATCGGAAGTGGATCACCTCTAAAAAAAAGAACAAGGCTGTAATCTGAATTAATTCACTGATAATTCTAAGAGTTCTCGACACGCAAGATATGCAAAGGAGCAATAATTCATAGATGGAGTTCGTACAGTCTTAACTTCACGTGTGGAGCCAAAAGAAATTAAATGAAATGAATATAATTTCACAAGCAGAGAATATTAAAATTCGGCACCTTAGAACGTATGAAATGAATTTATAGTTCATGAATGGCGCTAAAATTGAAAAATTTTATATGAAAAGGAGCTATATATAGATCAAACAACTTTGCAGGCAATGAATGAAACAAAATGGAAGGGGGATAATTAAAAATTAAAAATAAATATATTAATTGTGAGAGATATGAATATATTTATTTTGATGTATAACTGTCCACTCTAGCGTACGCTCACTGTACTATTGTTTTTTTTTTGTTGTGCTCTTTTGTTGCTGAGAGATATTTTTCGATGAGTCGATAAGATCGGCTATAATTGAAYGATACGCCCCGCTGCTGCTGCTGCTGATAACTAGCATATTACGATTTCCAGGGCAAATATTTATATTGCCTTTTTGTCGACCCAATATCTACAGCGCACTTCCTCAGGATATAGCCCATTTGCCCCAGACCTCACCTGCCATAGAAGTGGACTGCGATAAGCAGGAGCCATAAACGCTGGTTTCCTATTGACCACTCGAAATGCGCATTCCGGTCGACAAATATTCTAGGCCAATGGACTTTATGTGGATGAGCTGGAGTCTTAAGGGCTTGCAATACCTTTCACAATGGGTCTACAACGAACTAGACTCGTGCAATGGCAAGTCAAAAATTTATTTATTTATTTGTTTTTATTATTATTATTATTTTATTTTTTCGATTGGCAAAGCTTCTAAGCCAAAAGTTATGAAAACTGATAAAAGTTTCTGAATGTTTGTATGGTTTTAGCCCAAAGAAAAATTGATAAAAAATAATCAAAGATAATTTTGAATATTTGTCTCTCCGTACATATACATATGTATGTAAGTGTATATGTATTTGGATATAGTAGTACCTAACGACGCACAGTGGGGCCTTTGCTCATTTTGCGTTGCAAAAATCATAACTTTTGAACCAAGCAAGATATTTCAAAAATTTAAAAAGCATTCGACAGAGAATTCTTCAAGCTATAAATAGGCCAAAATACAGGGTGATGCGTTAACAGGGTGCTTCACAGTTTTACCTCAAACCTGAAAAATGTGATTTTTGTTCTATAATGTATGTTTTTGTATGAAAAACTACAAATTTTTTTGTTGAAATTGATTTTATTTAAATTATATGCACTAAATATAACAAAACAAATAAAAAAATAAACAAAAAAAAATTAAAAAAAAAAAAAAA